AACTGATTTTGGCTGCAAGTGGTACTGGTCAAAATAGTTCCTGAGGACAGTGATGTTCTCGACTTCTTGCGTAGTTGTCACTGCCTCTGCAGTGAGCAACGTTGTTGCTCCATCCAAGATGACAAAGACAATGATGTGTTCTCAGTGATCAATGAATGTCATGTCACCAAAGGTGTCCGCTCGAAGTCCACTTGTTTTGCTTCGTGACGGTGCATGTTTTGCCGCTTGGCAAACTTCACACTCACTTCGGATTTTGCCAAATAGATCGAATGTTGATTTCGGCAAATGAAGTGCGCGGGTTCTAAATTGAAATTGATCTGTTGTCATGTGATGATGCTGTAGGTGGAGCTTCTTCAACTCTTCGGGATTTGACAATCGCTTGTGGATTCTGCCTAGGGCAAGCGGAAGCGATGTTGGTTCTTCTGAGGATGGTGCGAAAGGATCTGGCTCAATGGTCGACCGGCCCCTCTTGTCGATGATCCTGTCTGCTGCCGATCCTGAACCTGCTTCTTCGTCCTTAAGCGAATTGTCCGCGAAGGTGAAAATGGTCTTACCTATCCACAGGTTAATCATCGGTTTATTTGCATAGATCTGGTACATCCATTGTCCAGAATCGCATAGGTCGGGTTGTACTGAGGGTTGATGACAGGCGCCATCAGCTTTGTTGCCAGAAGGCTGTGATTTGTTGTTACGGACAGATTGTGTTCTGAAACTGTATCTGATTGGATCAGCTTCCCGTGGATGGCCTTTTTCTCAGGATGCTCATATGCATCATGGAATGCAATTAACGCTTGTCCTGTCCTGGATGTCTCATGGGATGAGTACCAGCCATGTTCGCTCCATGTCTGATCCCAGTCTTGGTCTGTCCAACCGGCATAGGTAGGCTCTATGGATGGTGCAGTCTGCTGGATGGCGGGCTGCTCCTCCGTCTTCTCTGCGGTGGCTGCGAACGTCTTGGATTTTCCTTTTTTCCTGTCCGCTCTTTCCTTTGCCACTCTCATAGGATGGATAACCTTTGTTTCCATCATAGGGATATTGGAATTTTGGTTTTCCTTCCTTTCCCTTCTTTCCCTTGCCTTTTCCCCAATATGCCTGGTCGTAGGGATCATAGTTTTCGTTGGCCATATTGGCCTTTCCGCCAGAACCGCTTTTTCTGAAGGGTTTGAAGCCACCTCGTTGGTGACTGCCCTTTTTGTTTCCTGATTGTCCTTTTCTCTTCTTGAACTTGAAGTTCCGCCCCGACACTTTTCTTGCTATGAACGCATCGTTCTCCTCGAGGACCCAGAACGTCTCTTCATCGTTGTTAGACATAAATCCTTCAAGTCCTTCTTCATCCTCAACCCAGAAGCCTTCTTCTCCTTCGTATTCACCTTGTTCGATGATGAAGAATGTGTTGCTTCGGTTGCCTCCTTGAGGTCGGATGGATGGATCTTGGATGGATGTTCTTGTCGTGATGAAGAGTTCATGGTAGTGCGTCTTCAGCATCTCATAGGAGTAGTTTTCTAGTGAGATGTTTCTCAATGACATTGCACTTGTCAGTCTCTCTCTTTGCTGATCTGACAGTTCACTCTGAATGATGAAAAACTGTGCAATGAGATTATCCCCGAAGGGAAATGCGTCCCGCTGTCTGTCCTGCATTCCCGTGATGTATTGTCTGAGGACTATTGGATCATCCTCATTGAGCAGGGCTGGAGGCGGTGCTCGAACACTGGCTGCTTGCTGATGTCGAGCAATTGTTCTTGCATTTGCTTCCTGCACGGATTGTCGAAATGTTGGGGACTGTGCCGTAAAAATTGGCATCAAGTCCATCCACGCTGCTTTCAATCTCATAAGAAGGATTTCGAATTTTGAGGAACTCTTGGTTCTGCCTTCTATGGTTGAAGAAACTGAGGAGCCTGTACAGATACACGTTGGTCGCACCTTTCAAGAAGTGCTTCTTCAGCGTGTTCTTGAAATAGTTGACTCCTTCATCAGGATCTTGCAGAAGTTCATTCTGGAGGACTGCCTTGTACATGTATGCATCTCCGGTGAGTCTGCTCTTTAGCAGAGGTCCTCTCTTGGATGCTTCCACTGTCGTAATTGTTGCCCAGTCGTCCACGAGTTCTTCATACCTGAACCAGCTGACTTTTCCGTCGTACGACGGCGGCTGCTTGGCGGTCATCGACAAATTGAGTGTTTCCTCCGTATAGCCTTGTGGCTTTGCCATGCTTGAATAGGCTTCCATAAAACTCTTCTCCATCGGATGACATCTTCCCTTGGATCTCTGCGGAAAACCTGCTCCGCTACCACAAATTGAGGCCCACTGCCGGGGTACCTATCCCAGAAGGGAACTGGTACCTTTGTGGTAGAAGAGGTCGTTGATTTGGTTTCTGGATCTATTCCGGAGAAATTCCAATATGCCACTATGGATGATTGGAGCATGCATTGTCCCTGGTGGATTGTCTTGTGGATAATCCTGTAAGCGGCCTGCTAAGGTTCTTTTGCTTCACGCGATCATGTA